ATGTCGTCAAGTTTTTCAGGAAAAACTTGACTCCTTCGTTTGTTTGCAACGAACATATCGGAAAATACCCGATAATTTTGAAGCTCTTGTGGTATTACAAGTGAATATTTATCTCCGTGCAGTGAGTTGAAAAACTCGGCGCACGACAATTCACTTGACATTGTTAAAAATTTTCGTCTGAATTTTCCGTGCCATATTCCGCGAATTTTTATCGTGTTCAAGTTCCAGTGAAATTTCAGGTAATCTTGTCATTGAAAATTTAGAAATTCGTGGAAAAATCAAACAAAACTGCAAATTTCCCTGAAAAATGAATGGGAAACCCGAAAATTCTGGTAAATATATTCTTATTACATAAATGGTACATAAAATGTAAATACTTGGCTGAAGGGCCTCGGGCGATGGCCAGTTGCAAGTCCCTTGGAGCTCGCAACAAAATCCGTTAAAAATAAAATAAATATATTCTCGAATTTTCAGAACAATGACACTGAATGCGACTTGGGGGGAACAAATCATGAAATTTTTAATTTCACTGAAAATTTAATGTAATTTGACACCGAATATTCATATTCGATTGGAAATTTAAATGAATTAAAATTCTCGTCTTTATGTCGCTTAAAATTCTGCAATTGTACTGAATTTTCAGTGAAACCTGAAATTTTATGATTTTCCCCAAATTGCATTCAGTGTCGCTGTCCGGAAAATTGGTAGGGGAGAGTGTGCCTGTACCGCTCACCCGATTTTCTTCACAACCATCAACTTGAAAATTTCTTTCTGTTCCTGATCATGAAGAATTTGATGATAGGATGTGATTGTCGGAAAAACTTCACTTTATTTACCACTTTAAATATGAAAAAACACGTAACGAAGTTTTGAGGTCTTTACAATGCAAAATTTGTGGACTTGTAATTAAGGTTTTTGATAGTTTCAAACGCTGAATTCTCATATTAAACTGTGGTTATTCGATTCGTGGTACTTTCACGTGTAATTTGAGACCAAGTCGAACTCAAAACTCCACTCATGTCAATAATTATCAACAATTTTGTTGACGCCGAGCGGAGCCGGTAATACCGCTCATAGGATCGGCCACGTAGTTGTTCGACAGCACTCGAGTACAGGTTAGGTTGCGGCGCGAGCGATACACGCATGAGCGGCATTGGAATCGTACCGAGCGGTATTACCCGACGGCGGGTAGTACCGCTCAATAGGCTCTCTCTTTTATCTTCAATCAATTTTGTGGATTCTAAGGAGAATTAGGCGTCTACACTTCGAGAATAACGAGTTCAATAGTTAAAGAAGTCTCACAAATACGTTTTTTATACTCAAGTTGAAATATAAAATATAAAACTGGCATTTTCCTTTAGGTGGGCGGTACAGGCACACCCTCCCCTAGTCAACTGTCTATGAAATTTTATTTTTTTCTAACAGTATAAGTATACGCACGCCGTCCGGGGAACAACCGCTTTACGCACACTAAACCGTTTTGAAAAGTGCACTTTTCAGGCATGTATCATAAAATAACAATTTTTTTTGCCAAAAATAATTCAATAACAAATTTTTCCGGAGAAAAAGAAATGCAGATCAATGTCTGTTTCACGCTGTTTAAGCTCAACGCCCTCGTATCATGAAAAGCGATACAGTACCAGTGCATTACACCGCACTATCACGCGATGAAACGTGTTACGGTAATTTCAGTGTTGAGTACAAGGGGAAAAAACGTGATAGATAATTTATCCAGTGGAGTTTATTGAGGACGAGTGACTGAGTGTACCGGTGAATGTCGGGAGGGTGTGCAGATATGGAGATTGACAGTGGAGAGATGTATTACGGTTATTATCAGAGCTACCAGACCGTGCAGTGCGTCGGATAACGTATTGGCTATTAAAAATATATTCAATCTGTTGAATCCGCCCCTAGGATATCTCCGGAGGGAGCAACATGCATTTTGTTTCCAGAGAAATATGCCCCTTCAGGGGAAATATCTTGTAAACGATTTTATACTCATGTCTCGGCGACTCAAGATATAATTTAAGAAATTTTGTTGACGTCAATCTTTGAGTTTATGATTTTCCAAAAAACATTTAAAAAATTCGAGGAGCTACTCACTCCCGAAATCACGGCGTCAGTCTGGCATGAAATCATTCCGAAATCATTTTTTGCGAAGCCACTGAAATCATCGCTGAAATCAGCCGAAATCGACTTCATTTCTAAATCATGCACGGACAGAAATATTCAAGAAAAATTACGGAACATTTCACGTAATCCGCAAGCGAGAATCGTTTTCAGTGAATTTCTATAGGAATATAAGAGAATAAATCTGAAACGTTCAGTAAATTTTCGGGTCTGTCACCGAAAAAATACGAAAAAGTCATGTAATTTTTCTGGAAGTTGTAAAATCTAACAGAAACTTCAAGACTTATTATGCCTCAGAACATGAAAATTCTTGGATGTTTAATAATTTTTACGAAAAGTTCCGGAAAAATTACGGAACGTGTTGTGAAAATCTCCCCCTCACGGTGACTCATGGCTAGCCGTGAGGCGTCGGACGGATGAGTAATTTTTACGGAACAGATCGTAGAATTTACGTGACGATTGACACTTTTTATTGAATTTTACTTCGCTCCCAGATTACGTTTCGAAACGTAATTTTTACGTCTTTTTTCTGGTAATTTTTATTGAATATTTCTCTCCGTGTACTATCACTCAATTATAGAGTGAGTAGGACCCTATAAAAGATCAGTGCCGGTCGCTTGCGTGTACACGGAGAGAAATATTCAGTAAAAATTACGTATCTTTTCCGTAATTACGGAGCGAAATGTGGCGGTAGGAAATTTTACGGAACTGTCACGGAATTTTTTCAGAGCGTTCCGTAATTTTTACCGAAATCTCCTGTAAAAAATTACGATACCGTCACTTAAATTTTCTGAGTCGATTCCATAATCGGTGAGCCAATTGTGAGTTCCGTAATTTTTACTCAATATTTCTCTCCGTGTACTGTAATGAATTTAGGCATCAAATAAATTTCGATAACGAGAGCTGAGAAGGTGTTTATAGATTAATACACAAATGTGAATTAGCCCAAATGAGATCTCAATAAATGTTTCCCAGATTTATTATATAATAGATATTCAATTGATGAATTCATTCGTTTTGATTAGGATAGGTCTTAACTAATTTATGATGAACTTTATTCGTTGAAACACTGGATTATCTTCACCCTAAACCCTCAAACTTCCCAAAGTATTCTAAACGACCTCATCGAATGAATATTGGTGAAAGAATTTGTGCGGTATTAACGCATTTGTTCCCTATAGACAAAATATTGCCTATTTACATGTGTAAACAATTCCCCCCGGCTTTATCCTCTTATCCCGAAGAATCCAAGAGATTTAATCTTTGAGAAGAAAATTGTGAATTAGGAGCTCCAGTTTTACCTGGAGCTTGAAATTATAATTAGGCCCTTCACTTTCACGAACTCATGGAGTCTTGAATTCAGAAGTTCAGCTCGAGACTAGAAGGAGAAAACTCCACTTGCGGTACAGAAATTGAAATTCTTTATGTGAGAGGAGATGAGTTCAAGAAATTGTAAATATCTCTGGTATGAGAAGATCTAAGAGAAAATGTAAAAACAGTTTTTGTTGATTATGAAATTTTCAAGAAAACAAATGTTATGCCATTTTATCGTATTAGGAATACTGATTACCGAGATAATTCAATAATTAACAAATGATAATTCTGAGAAATCCATAGCCAATTTGATTTTTTAGAGGAATAAAATCTGCAAAAGTGTCCTCACGGCACAAATCTCAACCGATTGGCTCAAATTTTAACAAACGCCGAATAGTTGCTGCTCAATACCAAAAAGTAGATGATTCCAACGTCAGAAGCTCGTTAAGGAGATACGTCGGTGAAATTTAAAAGTCTTCACTGGACCTTGGGACCAATTGAACAGTTTGTGATATATGTCGGAATATGAGAATAACTAGGGAAAGTCGCGGACCCGATCGATTTTGCCCCGTATAACTACGAAAAACATCATTTCTTCCTGTTTTTACCTTCAAAATGCTCCTTGCGCCGTAATTTTCATACGATTTTAGCTTTTTTTTAATGTTCGTTACACTCCAAAGAATGAAGTTAAGGAGAGACTACTGTGAGTTTTAAAAGTCGTGGGTTATTGGAGTGAGACTTTTCATACGTTGAAAATCGATTATATAGATCTAAAAACGAATAATTAGTGCAAAAAACAATTTTTTTTATTGATCGTTTGCCCGAAAACGCTTAGATTGCTAAAAACGGTCCAGGGCCTCCAATTTTTGAGCTGCAAAAGATTTTTTTTCAATATTTTCGGAAAAATGTGTGAAACAACAATTACAAGCCAGTTTTTTGGAATTCGACTTCTACACAACTGATTTCGGTTTTTTTCATATAAAAAAATTCACTATTTGTGTAAAAAATACAAAAAAAGCAAATTTAGCCATGTAAGAGGCGAATTAAAAAAAAAATAGCTCGTAGTTGTTATTCCACATATTTTTCCGGAAATTTTGACAAAAAAAAAATCCTTCATACCTTCAAAATTCGAGACCCTGGATAGTTTTTGACATTCTAAGCGTTTTCGGGTAAATGAACAGTGAAAAAAAATTTTTTTTGCACTAATTATTCATTTTCAGATCTACTTATATAATCGATCTTCAACGTATGAAAAGTCTCACTCCAATAACCCACGACTTTTAAAACTCATAGTAGTCTCCGATTAAGCGTCCGTCTTACTTTATTTCCAATAGATCATGAATAAATGAATTTCGAATTTCATAAATTTTACTCTGCTCTAGAGACGCAAAAAATTTATGAAATTAAAAATCGATTTATTCATTATCTACTGCGAATAACGTAAAACGGATGCAGTGAGGACTTTTAAATTTCACCAACGTATCCCCTTAACAGAATACCCCGCAAGCTTTAAACCGTTAAATAACTCAAGTAATCAATAAATCCTTTACTTTCAGTAAATAAAAATGGCGGAGGACAGAGCTGTCAGTTCAGGCAGCAGTAGCAGTGGTGAGGCTAGCAGGCTCCAGTTACTCCAAGAGATGCGTCAGCAGAATTTTGATAGTATCAGATTTGCATCGTACAGAACTGCGTGCAAACTGAGATTTATACAGAAAAAAGTTCACCGTGAGTTCAAATCGATGAACTTGATCGCTTAAAACAGACACTTCACTGATAAAAACACGAATATTTGAATCAAGCGGTGATTTTTTTTTCAATTCTCATTAATTTGATTTCAGTGCACAACGTTGATATATGGAACGTGATTGAGGCATTCAGGGAAAATGGTCTCAACACACTGGAGCCGTCAAGCACACTCGGTGTATCGCGACTCGAAACTTTACTGTCTTCCCTATTTCACGCTCTTAATAAAAGGGTACCTGTGTCACAACAGTGTAAAGTTGATTCTATAACTGCATTGCTCCTGAATTGGCTTCTCGCTGCTTATACTAGCGGGTAAGATCATTATTCAATAATTTTCGTCAATTGAAACTAATCAGAGATAAAATAAGTTTCAGTACTTCGTGAAACTGAAATCGAGAGACAAAAAGTACTGGATTCCAGAATCCAGAATCTACACCCGGAAAAATTGTTTATTTAAATTCAATAAATTTTATTTGAATCAAATAAAGGGTTTATTTTATTCAAATGAAGTTTACTTAATTCAAATAAACCAATTTTTCTGGGTGTACCTAGGATTTTTGATAAGATAAATAAAATTACAATAAAATTCATCTAAAAAATAAAAAATAATAATAATTAATATAATATAATAATATATTATTATAATATAATAATTAATTAATAATTCAATTTTTATATTAATATATTAATATTAATATAGAATTGTACCAAAAATTGCTGTTTAGAGAAAAAAATACAAGTTTTGTTCTTTTGTTACAGAGAAAACAATAAAATCACTGTTTTTTCGGTTAAAGTTGCTCTCGCAACTATCTGTGCTGGCAAGTTGATGGACAAATTTCGATGTAAGTTCATTATTTATTGATAATTAAGATATTTATGAAGGAAATTATTTATGGAATCGAGTGGGAAAAAATGTAGAGGCATGAGTTGATAAATATCTCAAGAAGACGTGGATTTAGACAAGAATTTCAGAAGAAATTCTTTGTAAAGAATTTCATGATCTACTAAAAAATATAATTTAATATCTCTTAACATTTTTTTCAGATATTTATTCTCAAATATCGGACAGCAATGGTCACATGATCCACTGGAGGTTTTCGGAATATCTGAAAGAAGTTTTATCCCTAACGGCCGCTGTCTACGAAACGCCGTCCTTCCCGTACTCCGAGGGGCTAGCTGCCACGATATTCCCACCGGTAAAGTACCCCAAACAATTTCTACCAATTTCGTGAATGATCGATGAAGTCTAATCGAAACTTTGACGTTGCAGAATTCCAAAGTTACTGTTAACGATTTCCTCGACACGCTATTATCGGATCCCGGGCCTCACTGTCTCATTTGGCTGCCACTTTATCATAGAATGGCTGCTGTTGAGTCTGGTAATTAAAATCTTCATTTTTAAGGGCAGAAAAATTACAAAATATCGACATATTTTGAAGCATCACCTTCACTTTTGATAGAAAGTTTTTCATTTCCTCTACGAAAACAATTCTACACTGAGAGACACACGAACAACCTCTGAATACAAGTCTTGTTTTGGCCAAAAAATGGCTATTGGAAAATGACAAAAAAAATTGTTTGATTCGATTTTGAAGGTCTCAAACATGAATAATTACTCTGCTTTCAAAAGCAACGAAATATTTGAATCAACAGGCGAATCATTCACACGAGATTGTGCAATTTTCTTGCCGAAAACTGTGTTATTGACGAAACTAAATAATTTCGAGGGAACAATTTTTTTTGAGAAACATTCTTTTCTCGTCAATGTATTCTTTCTATGGTATAAGTCTATGGAGTTATCTCCAACAACAGTTCTAATTCTTCTGGGGATATTTCTGATGATCACGACAAAAATATATTTTTTTCTGAAATCTTTTATCAAATTTCCCTCTTTCAAGTTGCTTAATTTCACTCAACTAAATCTATTTCACACCATCAAATATTCTCACTTGGACCATATAGTTTTTCTGCAGAGCTAGTTTTTATTCCAGTGTAGATTCCAACATATCCAGAAAAAACTGATGATCAAGTGAAATTCGATATTTCCTGAATTGTGAAAATTGGGATTATTTAAATTATTAAAATTGAAAAAATTCTTCGAGAACATTATTTAGACAATTTATTGACTATTCGAAGCTCCATTTTAGTCATTTAATCCTTGTGCATTGCAGTAACCCATCCAATAGTGTGTGACGCCTGTCACAAGGACAATTTCACTGGTTTTCGTTATCGTTGCCAAAAGTGTCACTCGTATCAACTGTGCCAGGACTGCTTTTGGCGTGGAAAAGTATCCGGTGGGCATAATAATGATCACGAGACTAGGGAGTACAGTAGTTTCGTAAGTAATTGACATTAACATTAACTCATTTCAATTGTTTTGTAAATATCTTAGGATTGAAGAAGGAAGCCAAGAGCCCTTTTCTCGTACACTGTTAAAAAATTTTCACTGAAGTTTCTAGGCTTGTCTTGAAATATGAAACAAGTGACGGTTTTTCATTGAAATTTCTGGGAATTTTACCATTGAAAATTCGAGGTTTTCGTGGAAAATTCGTGGAAATTATAAATTTCAGTTAAATTATTCCATGAAAATTAATGGAAATTAGGGAAATTCAAGCAAAAATGTCCTTGAATTTTCAATTTTTTGAAATTTTAGAGCAATTTCTTATTGAATTATCATGTTTACATTGAAAATTCATGGAAATTTCGGAATCTTCATGGTTCTTCCACTGAAAAATCAGGAATTTCCTTGAATTTTCAGGGAAACTTGAAATTTCATAGACTTTTTTCCGTTAAATTGAATTCAGTGTCATTTTCTAGAAAATTCAGTTAAATTTTTTTAACAGTGTAGTGTAGTGTATTTTTCCCTAAACCTATTGCTTTCAAAGATATTTACAGAAAAATCTGCAAAGAATGGGACAAATAACTTCTTTTTACTTAAATTGTTAAGGGGGGGACCCTGGTGATGGAAATAATGAGAACTACTCAGAATAATTTTTATACTGCATGAAAAAAATTTTAAAAACATGTAAACCGAAAAAATTTAATTTTCTATTATCTAATTGAGATAATCAAAAAAAAAATCTAGTTTTATTCTATGGAATCTAACGAACATTTCGAAAAAGAAAAGAGTGAGTCATATTGAGAAAAAAATGTTAAAAAAAATGTCTTTTTTGGTAGACTATTTTTTAACAAGAAACTCTTTCAATATTTTTCTCTCAATTCAGCTTCAAAGAAAGATTTGAAATTGAAAAATTGAGAGAAAGAAAAATAATTCAAGACCAAATTCAATAAACTCATCGATTAATTACTCAACTAATTGGTCGTTTCATCTCTTCTAGAAATCCCCATCTAAACAAATCGGTCACTCCCTCCGCAAAAGCTTCAGATGCGTCCCAGAGAAGGGAAAAAATAGTCTTCCAAGATTCCCCGAGCAGCCCGAGAAAACGCTGGATCTGTCCCACATAGTGTGAGAATCGATTCTCCATTATCGCATTCTCAAAATAAATTGTTTAATCAAGATTTTATGTATCATAGACCCCCGTCGCCCCTGCCATCGCACAACGGCTTTCCGGATCCCGGTTTTATGGCGCCATTCGACGCTGGTTCAATGGACAGCCGTTCAACACTGAAGAGCCTCGATAGCTCCAGAGTTGATGACGAACACAAATTAATCGCCAGATATGCACAGAGACTGGCACAAGAGGCAAGAACAGTGGTAAAATTCCTAAAGCAATTTTTTTTTCTATTTTTTTTCTCGCATGAAAAACCATCTTTCGGGACAGACCAAGGATGAGGACTGGTGTAACTATTCGATATTTCATATTTTTATATGTTTGATATGATCTCGTTAATGAGTGGTTTCAAGAGAAATTGTCAAAGGACTTTGTTTGTGGGAAATTTCAAAAGCTACAAAAGGTATTTTGAATTTATCTCCTAGAATTATTCGTTTTCGAGATTAAGGCCCGGGTGTACTATCTTTCGAACGTTATCTCGATGTTTTTTTTCATCTTTCGTCATCTGAAATTGTCAATTAAGTCCTGCATCATCCAGAAGTTTTAAAAAATTATGACTGAATATTCAAAAAAAAAAAGAAAAAATTGTTAATTTTTTCAAAGAGGATTTTTAATTTATATTCAGAATAAGTTCAATAACAAGAAATTGCAAAATGTATCTGATTTACGGTGACAAATGGCGGCCTGTCACCCAATATCATGCAGGGGGAAGACTGATTTCATAAATCTTTTCCCACACTGCACAGAGACATTTATTACGGAAAAGGGTCTTTGAAAAATGTTGTAGTATTTTGGAGAATTTTTTAATCACACTTTTATCACATAAAAATGGCAGATGACTACATACCAGTGTTTCGAAAATTGAGATACGTAGCTGTCACTTCCCATGAGAAGTTAGTGTTTTGTTATCCACCATGGAAAATGACATCTAATAGATAATTTGCCACAGCGAATCAGATATTTGTAATTTCCACTTTTTTCAATTCTTTTTAAATCTCAATTAAAAGCGCTCTTTGAAAAAGTTCTGAATTTTTTCAATTTTTTTCATCATTCTATCACAATTTTTGGAAATTTCTACATGATGTACCACTCAATTGAAAATTTTGCATTACCAAAAATTAAAAAAATGCAGATAACATTCGAAAGATAGTACACCCGGGCCTTGATATAAAAATAAAAAATTGTTATCCTGCATGTGAATTGACAGAGAGAAGTATCTAGTTTTCAGGAATGAATTCTATTGTTTATATATATACGAGAACGATCGCGCGCTTGAGCGCGCGTGTTAAAGACAACGAAAACCGAAAGCCGAGCGAAGTCGAACACGTGCGGGCGGATCCGAATGTTCGACCAATGAAATTCGAGGAATGAGCGATACATCCAGTGTGATCCACGTTTTTTGAAGCCAATCTATACGGCCTCTTGTGTCATTCGATTTTTTATAAATGAAGATAGCATATATTAAAGATATAACGATAATACTATATTATATTATATTCCGTGCTATACTATTTTCTATATACTATGTATAATATACAATATATAATAGAGTACTATGTGTATTATAAAATATACTGTACATAATGAGAAAAATGGAATAATAAACTGATAATTATAATAACATACATTGAGTATACGATATTGTGCTATAATACATTATACAATGTATTGTAATATAGTATAGTATAGAATATAATATAATAACGTATTATCGTAATATCTTTAAGGTATGCTATCATCACTTATAATAGTATATTTCGTAACGAGTGCAAAAAAGTGTTTTTTGGCGAGTGGGAGGTTTATATCACGAGCCGAAGGCGAGTGATATAATCCCACGAGCTGAAAAACCCTTTTTTCACGAGCTACGAACAATATTTTTCATCACAATGTGGCGGAAATTGGACTTTTAGGCACGCGGAGCGTGCCGAAAAGTTCACTTTCCGTCACAGCGTGATGAAAAAAATCTAATGACACAATACGCCAAATAGATTGGCTTAAAAAACCGTTACACTGGATCTTTTATTAAAGGATAAAATCATCATAAAGTGTCCGGGTTAAAAATCATCATAAAGTATAAAGTATAAAATCATCATAAAGTGTTAGGGTCAAATGGGGCTCGAATGGAGGCTCTGACGCTCGACTACAAAAGTATTTTTGCATGCGAATTATCCAAACATTCGTGGATGAACATTAAATCATCCCAATGATCTCAATTGATGTTGAAAAATAAATGAATGTTTACAGCCTCGTGCGTCCTCGAGAATGTCCCAGGCCGACCAATCGGTGAGTTCCGCATACACCAACAGTTAGAAAACCAACACCTAATAGAATCGCGACTAATTAATTTTACTTCTGTTTATCCCGTATACTTATTCACACGAAACAGCAGGGGAGAGTGCCGTCAGACGCAAACTTGGCTTCACTGGACACATCACGAGCTCAACGTGAACTCATTTCGCAGCTTGAGGCTAAGAACAAGGAAATCATGAGGGAGATTGCAAGGTTAAGGTATACCTGTGTCGTTTAAAAATTCCCTTAAACATCAGACCCATCACCACAGTCCCATCAAACCATCCCGATCATGCATGAATATTTTTCATTTATGTTGCTTCGAGCTTCTCATTATTCTTTTCGCTGATGAATTTTATAGATTTGTGGGGGTAGATCGTAGTGTTTTGGGGTATTTCAGAATTTTCAATTCATGAAAATCATTGTGAAAGGTGTTGAGAGGTTGTGAAGATGTTTTTTAAATTTTTGTTTTGGATTTTTTTCCACTCTTTTCTGGGTATTAGGAGGCAACAGGAGATGGAGGCAGCCGAGATTCAGGACCCGGCGCTACTGTCAGAGCTCAGGGCTTTGAGGATGAGGAAGGACGAACTTGAAACGCATCTGACAACTTTGCAGGACTCTAGGAGACAACTCATGGCACAACTCGAGGGATTAATGAAGACTTTGAAGGTGAATATGAAAACGAGTCTTTCTTATTCTTCTGTTCGTTGTAGTTATATCCTCACTCAAAGATAGAGGCAAGCACTATAAACGAGCCTTTTACTTAAAAATTTGTATTTTGATCATTGCTCACTGTACAAAAACTATTTTAAAATTTAATCTTTCTATATGTATAACTTTTTCTATTAAAACGTTTTGTATAGAAATTCCTCGAAATTAATTTTGCAAGTTCTTCGACTTGATTTTTCCTCTTTTTTTATTTAAAAAATCAAGCAAAAAAGCTTGGAAAATTTGAACCGAGAAATTTCTATAGAAAATATCTCAATAGACTGAGTTTCATAGAAAAATCGAAATCTGTCGATTATTTTTCTACAGAATTTTTCATTGAACATGTCCAGTGAAAAAAATGCGCCGATAAGCTGAGGAACTTTTTAATCGAATCTAAAAACTAATAGAAATCCAACAGAATTTTCTACCAAATTCACTAGTTTTTTCTAGAAAATTGTCAAATTGAAATAATTCTGATTAATAATTGCTCGAAGCTGGGTTTTGTACGAATATTTCCGAATCTAAGGGAGATGATAAAATTTTCGTAATGACCTTTTTCGCAGTTTCCAATTCGCTCTACAAAAAAGGTTATAACAATAATTTTACTACTTGCCTCAGATTCCGAGATATTCATTGAAAACTGATCACCAAAGTCAGCTTACAATTAATAATGAATCAATGAAAATCAATAATAATCAATCAATTAATAATGAGTCAGTCAGAGTCGGCTTGAGCCATTTCACCGCTTCGCTACTGAATCGTTTGATTCCCTCAACAGAGTCAAGCATCACCCCGCTCAACTCCCAACAGTTCACCCCGGAGTACAAAATCCCCTCCGCTACCACCGGGTGGACTACCAAACAGTAGATCAGCACCACCAACCCCAGGTGGTCCTCTGTCAACCCCTCAACACCAGCATGGCTCCCAAAATATTCAACAACAGCAGCAACAGCAGCAGCAACAACAACAGCAGCAGCAGCAGCAACAGCAAAATCAACAACAAATGTCCCAAAATTATCAGAGCCCAGTGCTAGGTAGCAGTATGCAGGGGAACGCGATGCTCGGAACACTACAGAATCCCATACCCGATAGTCTCTCGTGCGTTGGAGGCGATGTCAGGTAGGGTGGCATGCCATTCGACTGAGAGCACTTACTCAAACATTAAATCATACGCAGAATTTTTTTTTTTTAAATCTCATGAGTCGTAATACAATATCGATCGAATGCCTGGAGTTTATTTGTATGCGTTATGTTGCTAATTCTGTAGATTCCTCACGTAAAGATAATTCATGGGTTTTATTATTATTTTATGTTGTTTTGTAATGTTTGTTTTCCTTTTGATTGATTCATTATTAATTGTAAATTGCTTGGTTTATTATCGATTGAACTAGTGACTCAATAAATATTTAATTGATTATTAAGTTATTAATTTTGGTTTTTTATTTTAATTTAATTATTTTGTGTAGTTTTTTTATTGATTTGAGAGGAAGAACATTTTAGTACGAACGAGTCGAGTCCAGTAACGTTGGTATCTGACGAAATTTGTGACTTGAGAAGAGGTTTCGAATATCAAAATTGTCTACAGCAATTCGCTATTGCAAAAAGTAATAATTAATATCTCTTGAATCTGAAATATCATCTGACCTCATGACACTTCATGAAAAACTTCATGATTTCGACTTCTGGAATTTTATTAAACATGTTAGAAATCATATTGATCATGAGTAGTTTTGAAGGAAGACAATTTCAAAATTTAAAAAACTGTTAAATTTTACTTTTTCTGTTCTCTCCCCTCCAAAGATTAAAAAATGTGAAAATTTTACCAAAAAGGTTCATTTATTCATTTTATGTTGCTTAATTTCATTTTGGAATGCTCGACGTGCACCAAGTACTCTCAGAATCCCCAATACTGCTCGATTAATTGAATAATAATAAAAAATAATAACAATAAAACTGCCAATTTGTCCTGAATGTCGCATGTAATCGAGGCCATAATCCTAAAATATAATCCATGAAAAAAACGTGGCACAATTTTTATTCCACCGCGAGTGTAAACCGTAGAAACCAGAATGCCCCCACAGTTCACCTAAATAACCAAGAGATTATAAAAACATGTGTAAATGAAAACCTAGCACGTAGTGACTAATGCGAAGCCCCTTCGATTTGTGAGAACAATGCAATAATAGAGTAAAGAAAATCAAGTGAATGAAGACGTACGACAGATTGTTGACATGCTTACTGCAATAAATAATTCAATTCAGATGAATGTCGTGATGATTTTTCTTTGGAAATCTTTCGTTGTCTTGATTTATTTATTTTTTCGTTATTTGGTGCTTCTTCGCGCAAAGAAAATAGAGATTTTCGATGTCAGGTCTGCGTTCAGGACAAACAGTCTACCTGGGAGTGGATCAAGCAGTGCCAACAATAGCTTGGGAAGATCTCTGAGAAATGATCTACTTGTTGCTGCTGACAGTGTCACCAATGCCATGTCAACACTCGTGAGAGAGCTTAATTCAGGTAATTTGAAGTTTATAATAATTTATTTTGTGCATTCGTTGTGTCTGAAAGAATTTAAAATTCGTTTTTTCGTTCGATTTATCTTTTGCGTTCCGTTTTTTGAGAATATCTGAGAAACTAACAAGTTTAGAGGGAAATGTGGTAAAATACTTTTTGTAGAGAATTAAATTCTGTACGAAAAAGTTGATGCGACATTTTTTGGTAAACCTGATGATTTCCGAGATATTTGCAAAATAGTCTGCCAATTTTTTTTCGTCCTCATTTAAATTTCATTTTGTTAATTGCTAAATTATCTCGGGAATGAAGGGTGCTAGGAAAAAACCACATAAGACTTTTTTACAGAAAATTTCATCCTCTACGGAAAAGTTCTCCTGAGATTTTCTCCTGCCATCACTCCTTTTCGAGATAATCAACAAAATATCAACGGGTTTTTGACTGATTTATTTTTTTCAATACATTTCACTATCATTTCGTTTTCCAACGGCAGAAAAATAATTTCAAATGTCAGAGACATCAGAATGCATAAAATACTTCCTAAAATTTGGAAAAAATTGTCAAGTATTTTGATAAAAAATATATAGGGTAGATTTTTTAGGAACTGTTGGCTAGTTTCGTATATTGTCTCTTGATTCTAGACAAAATAATTCCTGATTACTATCCAAATGGCCGTGTACGCAACATTGATTATCATTTAACACCTCTTTATCTCTCGATCCCAATTCCTGAACGTGTCTCTAATTTATTCCCCCACTATTTCTTCATGATGATGATGAAAAAGAGTTTATTTCATTGCCAGCATGAGCCATTTTTGATTCTCTCCTCTCTGGACTGTTTATAGCAATTTATGAATATTATTATTACAATTTGAACTTTTAAGATATCCAAACCACCAACCGATTACACATACTAGACAGGTGAGAGAATTTTATTAAATGTTTTTACTATCCATTACTCTGAATATCGAGGAACATCTGTCATAAATTCATCTACTTTATTCTCTATCTCGAATTTCATGTCACGAATTTCAAATGTTTTTACGATGATTATTTATTGTCGGTGGAGCATGAGGCATCTTCTGCTCATTATTCTATACTTGTCATCAGCGTCCCTCTTCGTTCGTTTGTATACAGACTTTCCAGGGAAGTGAATACACCGATGGAAAAATAGTATATTTCGATACGAGTCAGGCGGAATTTTCACGAGTGTCGAACAATATTTTTTGACATCTAAATTTCTGTTCAACCGTTTCATTCATTTCTTACTAATTTATTATTCGGCCATAATACGGTCATATATATATATATACATGTTATGAAGGAGGGGTGCTATATGCTATCCTTTCGCCTTCAATGTTTCTATACCAACAACCAATGAAGATAACCTAACCATGTAAAGACTTGAATTTATTTCCATAATACAACACTCGACACATCCCGTAGGTAGGTAGGGGGTCCATACCATACCACTGGCTTTATTGGTTCCAACTCAGATTTTATCCTTACAAATATCGGAATTGACGAGGCTGGGATTCGAACCCAGTCCTCGGTGTAGTGTGCATGGGTTACTAACTCGACCACACTACCGACTACGCCATTTTTATTTTTTAAAGGTGTTGATTGTCATAGTAGCCAAATACAAAAACACTGATGGGTTTAACATTTCTCCAATAAACAAAAGATTACTTATCTAGAGTGAATTTATACAAAGAAGTCGTTCAACGACGTGGTTTGCTATGATCTCTATCGGTATGACTGGTGGTGCTATTATTCCTATTTATTAGTTTATACCATAATCAATATGGTTGCTATTCATGTTTCTTGAGTGGAAAGGCTACGCACTACGCCACTCAACGATATAATATGGCAGTACTATTATATTTTTTTGTCATGATGACTGTAAGCAGCGATTAACGGACGTGTAGCGTCAAAAATATTGTTTGTTACACGGTCTAAAAAAACTTTTCTCATATTTGCCAGAAAAGTTTTTTTCGGCCTAATGCCGAAATATACTATTTGACAGTGATGTTACGTTCAGTGAGTGGCTGAACTGTCTTTTTCGTTTACGAATAAACGAAAAGGCACTTTTCGTCAGATGGCCCGGTAAACCGCGATTCTAACCTCGCTTCGCTCGGATCCCAAGCCGATCCCACCCCATCCCTCGCTTCGCTCAGTTAGATCGCGGTTTACGGGCCTTCTGACGAAAAATTGCATTCATCACACGGTCCAAAAGTAATTTCTGACGAATGTGGCTTTGTAGGCCGAGCCGAAGGTGAGGCCTATAATCACATTCGTCAGAAAATACTTTGTGGACCTTGTGATGAAAATAACTATTTCGGCACGAGGTGAACGTAGCAGCAGTGTCAAAATAGTTATTTACAAGGTCCACAAGGTATTTTCTGACGAATGTGATTATAGCTTTAAAAAATAAAAATGGCTACAAAGCCACGTTCGTCAGAAAATACTTTTGGACCGTGTGATGAATGCAATTTTTCGTCAGAAGGCCCGTAAACCGCGATCTAACCGAGCGAAGCGAGGGATGGGGTGGGATCGGCTTGGGATCCGAGCGAAGCGAGGTTAGAATCGCGGTTTACCGGGCCATCTGACGAAAAGTGCCTTTTCGTTTATTCGTNCAACCGTCTAACCGAGCGAAGCGAGGTTAGAATCGCGGTTTAACGGGCCTTCTCAGGAAATAGTACATTTCGACACTCGACCGTGAGAAACTTTTCTGGAGAATACACGGTTACAGGACGAGCCGAAGGTGAGTCCTGTAATCATTTGAGGTAGAAATGTTTTTCACGGCCTTGCATCGAACAATATTTTCTGTCATTAGGCCTGAAAACCGTGATTTTAACCTCGCTTCACTCGGCTTCGCCTCGGGCCGCCAATCACACGAGTTGAAAATTCCCGTCTCACACGTGTCGAACAATATTTTTCAACAGTGATGTTACGTACAGCGAGTGGCCGAACTATGTTTTGTTCGATTGCAAGTAAACGAAAAGACTTTTCGATTGCTTTTCGTTCAGGAGTCAACGAAAAGGCCCTTTTCGGCACGAGGTGAACGTAGCGACAGTGCCAAAAATATAAACTATATTATTTTCCACATCCATTTTATCCTCTCGATGATTCAATACAATATTTCTCATTATATCCAGGCATGAATGCACATTTCGATATTTACTCGGTACAATTCACTATCGATCAAAGCATGAGAACAATCTCAATTGAATAAAAATCAAAAACATCCCCAGAAAAATCTAAAACTGGAAAAAATGAAATCTATTTTTCTCATAATTGAATTCATTTCTACACTCACCTGTCATGTATACTCTCCCCATACCCAAGCCTCGCCCAATTAGACTAGTCATAATAAATTAGAACATAGAAACGAGAGAATTCATGACCTAATTATAAACGTAAATCAGATTACATTGACACTAAATCACATCACGATTTCATCCTATCTTTAGTTGAATCAGTTAATCAAAAATTACTCCACATATCATTTCCATTGGTGCATTATCATTAATTTATGTGTTGTGATACTAACTGATTAATTGTCACTTACAGAACAATCCGCTAACGAAAAAAAAAACAAAATTATTCGTTAAAAATTGACACAAATGGACAATTTAATTGAGATTTTGTCTTTATTTATTTATTATTTGTTTCTTGATTGTTATATTTGACTTCAACGAGACGCACATCTGTTTTTCATTATTCACTGTAGAAAAATATTCCTAGTTCAAGAAAGCTCGCAAAGTAATCGCATTTCAATTCATGTTGATGGATGAATAAAAAATTTACGAGGGTCGGGATATTGAGGGAAAGGCGACGTTCCGAGTTTATTGTGCTTCTCGCGTCATAAAGAGCCTCAATATAGTATATTTCCTTTTTTTTTTTAATCGTTAAATAGTATATTTCCGTACTGCTTCTCACTTTTCCCTGTCCGTGGATTGGTATTGACTCTTCTCCAAACTGGTAAAAGTGAAAATCACTACGGAAAAATATTGTTCGCGTCTAGTGCCACTGGGGTTTTCGGCTCGTGAGGTTGGCGCGCCGAGCCGAAGGCCAGGTGTGTCAATCACACGAGCTGAAAATTCCGGTCTCACATGCACGGAGAGAAATATTCAGTAAAAATTACGGAACTCACACTTCACTCACCGATTACGGAATCGACTCAGAAAATTCAAGTGGCGGAATCGTAATTTTTCACAGGAGATTCGGATAAAAATTACAGAACGCTCCGGAAAAAATTCGTGACAGTTCCGTAAAATTTCCTACAACCACATTTCGCTCCGGAATTACGGAAAGGATACGTAATTTTTATTGAATATTTCTCTCCGAGTGTGTCGAACAATATTATTTGACAGTGATATTACGTTTAGCGAGTGGCCGAACCGAGGGGTTACTCACTCCTGAAATCACGGCGCCACTCTGACATGAAATTATTCCGAAATCACTGAAATTAAGTGATTTCAGCTTTCCAAAATCATTTTCGAAATCATCTCCGTAATCACGTGAAATCGTCTGAAATCAATGAAATCACCGAAATCAGTGGCGCACTGGCGTAATATGAACCGTGCAAGTAACTCATGATTTTAAAATTAACACATCTGTCAACGATGACAATAAAATGCCGTACGCACTGCCGTAGTAAAATCGTAAAATGGACCGCTTTTCATCGTCATGAGCTCAAGATTGGCAGAGTGAAATCAAATGAATTCGTTATTTGCCAGTTATTATTGCCAATTTCGATTTTCATAATTTGACACAACTCGTTTTGCCCCACCTCTATTTTTTATTAATTTTATTTTTCTGAAATTCCGGATTTCGTATTAATGAAATCATTCGTAATCGTGAAATCACCTCCCGCGACGCTCGAACTCACCGAAATCGACTTCATTTCGAAATCATGGTGTCACTCAATTATAGAGGGAGTAGCCCCTCGGGCTGAAATATGCCCAGGATTTTTTTTACAGTGAATACTCGATAATTCTTTCAATTCAAAAATTTTCCGTTCATTTGATTATTTTGATGAAATTTAACCGTTGAAGACAGTTACATACAAGATTGAAAAAAAATTATTAAAAAAAAAAAATAACACTATAGACGTGTTGTGTCGGAATGTATGTGATGCACCCCCTTCTGTGAATGTATCCTGGTGACTTGCAGACTCAGACCAGGAAGAGCAATCCCACAGCAGTGGCCGACGTATCATCCGAAAACCTCTTGGTAAGTTTTTCGTCATTCCCACTGAACCAACACCAGGTGAATAATCTAGTTGCCATTAATATGTGAATGAATGAGATAGGATAAGAGGATTTCGGTAATTCTCGTTGCAGTTGTTATTCATAATTGATAAACAGAAGTGGAGGATTATTGCGTAAGAGGATTGGCCGTATGAGTCTCACGATTGTTCTAATGAAATATTTCAGAAGATCACCACGCACTGAGAAAAAAAATTTCTAATATCTGAAACATATTTTCTTGAGAGAAGTAATTCTTCTTCAATTGTTGAATGCGTCTAGATATCTCAACTCATGTGCCCCGAGAAAGGTCTTATCCTTTAAAATATTCTTGTACTCAAGTATGATTTTGTCGCAAATGAACTCACTCAAATCGCGTAGAAGAATCGTCAATCTTCAAGTATTTATTGTTTTCATAATTTTTTTGTTATGCAGTTGCAATATTTCGATATGTAATATATTCATGATAGAATGCGCAACGATAGTGATAAATGAGAATTCATTCGAGTCCCGTGAACCGTAAACATTCTGAAATTTAAACAAAGAAAGCTCTCAAGAAAGCTCTCAATGTAATCGCACTTCAATTCATGTTGATGGATGAATAAAAAATTTACGAGGGTCGGGATATTGAGGGAAAGGCGACGTTCCGAATTTATTGTGCTTCTCACGTCATAAAGAGCCTCAATATAGTATATTTCCTTTTTTTTTATATCGTTAAATAGTATATTTCTGTACTGCTTCTCACTTTTCCCTGTCCGTTGATTGGTATTGACTCTTCTCCAAACTGGTGAAAGTGAAAATCACTACGGAAAAATATTGTTCGCGTCTAGTGCCACTGGGGATTTCGGCTCGTGAGGTTGGCGCGCCGAGCCAAAGGCCAGGTGTGTCAATCACACGAGCTGAAAATTCCCGTCTCATATGCACGGAGAGAAATATTCAGTAAAAATTACGGAACTCACACTTCACTCACCGAGTACGGAATCAACTCAGAAAATTTAAGTCGCGGAATTGTAATTTTTCACAGGAGATTCGGATAAAAATTACGGAACGCGCCGGAAAAAATCCGTGACAGTTCCGTAAAATTTCCTACAACCATATTTCGATCCGGAATTACGGAAAGGATACGTAATTTTTATTGAATATTTCTCTCCGAGTGTGTCGAACAATATTATTTGACAGTGATATTACGTTTAGCGTGTGGCCGAACCGAGGGGTTACTCACTCCTGAAATCACGGCGCCACTCTGACATGAAATTATTCCGAAATCATTGAAATTATTCCGAAATCAGCGATAAATGAGCATTCATTCAAGTCCCGTGAACCGTAAACATTCTGAGATTTAAACCATTGAAAATAATTTACTTCTCTCAAGTAAATACAGTCTACGTATTAGAAAATTTTTCTGTCCGTGCACACGAAAAAATTTAATAGAAAAACCACGAATTCGCTGGACAATTCTGTTAAACTTTCTATTAGTTTTGGCCGATTCTATTGAAATATTAAATCGAAAATATTCCATAGAAAATCAATAGAATTTGATTTTTTATACACCTTATTCTATTGAGATACTTTCTAAAACCTTTTCTCGGCTCAAATTTTTCAAGGTTTTTTCATTCAATTTTTCATGTTTCCATCAAGGCAATCAAACAAAAAAATTTGAAAAATTTGAGCCGAGGTAATCCTGTAAAAAATATTTCAATAGAATAATGTGTATAAATCGGATTTTATTTTTCTATAGAATATTTTCTAGTGAGAATTTTAATAGAATCGGCCAAAAAATAATAGAAAGTTCCATAGAAATCCAATAGAATTTTCTAGCAAGTTCGCGAGGTTTTTCTATGAAGTTTTTCTCATATGTGACGTATGCAAAAATTTAATAGAAAAATCTAGCGAATTTAATAGAAAATTAAACAAAAAAGTTCGAAAATTTGAGTCGGAGAAATTCTGTAGAAAATATGTCAGGGCGAGGTTGCTCTATTAAATTTTTTCACGCGTGATAAAAAGACATTCAAAATTATTCCTAGTGTGAAGAAGTCAGACATGATTATAGAAAATATACCATCCAATGGATATTTATTCATCCTTTTTGAAAAACCTAAAGCGAAAAAAAATTCATCTCATTCAATCGCATAAAAAATCCCGCTAAACATCCCCTTATCATCTCCAAAAATTTATTGACGTATCTGAGCACTAGTTTTTCACTCCAGAATTAGCTCTCATTATCCATATCTAGCAATCTAGCACAGTAGCACTGAGAATCGTTAGAAAAACTGATCAAAACTTTGAACAAATTACGATATATTTTTTCGCCTTCTTGAAAAAACTGTTAAATTTATGGCAAATCGTTGTTTTTCAGACTTCGAAGCCGGTGAAGATGGTGACGACTCGAGCGGAGGTGGAAATTCATGGCGAGAGGAGCTACAACGGCGATACCAACAGGACAGTGATTTCCTAGCCGAATTGCGAGCGAGAAATTCAAGTGTCTCACAGACCCCATCAGCAACGCCATCGAGCGAACAGGAGCAAGAGCGAGGGGAGCGAGAGGAGGCTGAGGGGGAGAAGGAGACTGACGCCGAGGCTGAGTGGGCAGAGGCTGTTAAAAGATGGGTCAATCGATAAGGCGATTGTAAAAATCCAAATTTCAAAAATTAATTGAAAGAAAAATAACAACGACATTCGTTCAGTTTCTTTGGACCTTTCGCGTGATGAAAAATCTTCCGAGGATTTTTTTTTCGACTAATGGATATTGATATACGTATTACAAAGTGGCTAACACTTTTTTCGAGTATTATATTGAGGAATTTATGAGGATAAATAATGAATTTAAGGATATCCAAGTATCTTTCGCAGTCTGGTAAAGATCTCACTATAAAGTCCACCGCTTTCAATCATGAAATTTGTCAATTAAATTGCGTAAGAAAAATTTCAAAAAAAGTTGAATAGAATAGAATTATCATTTTTTAAACATTCGGTGTTTATAAATAAATAATTGAAATTGTTTGAATTTTCGGAAACCTTAATTTTTAGGCATGAAATCGATTTCTGGTAAAATTCTGGATATGAATAAATTTGTTGCCATTAGAAACAATTACTTTTATTGTGGAAAATTGATTGTTTATAAATTATTCACAGGAAATTTTTCATCAATCTTCCTCCAAAAGTGAACTTTCAATTTTTTTTTCAGATTTTTAAAATATTTTCTGACGGTTCAATATCGAGATACCAATTCAGACCTGTAAAGTTACATAATAAAATCATTGTGAATGTTCGAAAACTTTGGGTCAAATCGGGCTCAAATGAAAGCTTTGATGTTCGACTAAAAAAGTAGAATAGTATTTCATTGGAGAAAAATAGGCAAAGTACTTGGATATCCTTCAAATTCCAAAACGCTGACAATTTTTGACCAATATTTGATTCACGAATTTTTCTGAACAATTTGTGATTTTTTAACTTCAAATTTGAGCTTCAAGAATTAAATCCATGAGATTAATGCTCCTGAGGTGAAGTGAAATGGGAAGATACTGATTTTGAAGTTGTAGGTGCCAAAAACATTAGTCGGGGTGAGGAAAATTGCCATTCATCTTCTTAATTCACTCCACTATGTGATCTGTAAGTGAAGTGGTGGAGTAATACGAGTGGGTCAGTGATTTCACAAAGATTATTTGGCGAATATCTAGGGGAATACAGGATCTAGAGCAAAATGTCATAAGACATTTTTTGTGGGAAATTTAATTCTCCAGAAGAATGCTTTTATCACTTTTAACTCCAGGGTCAATAGTTCTCGAGATACAATCGACTCTCCGTAGCTCTCCAGGCATCACCAAGCGAGGGGAATATCGCCCCCCACTACCTGCGTGCCGTCTCGCACGGGAGACAGCCCCAGAGGGGACATGGAGATAGCTATAACGTTCTCGCTCGAATAGTTGCGGTGTCTCTATTCGTAGAGAAATGGCAACCTCTAGCTTTCCGTTCTCGGAGTCCATAGCCCCGAAAGTGGAGAGCTGAGCAGAGTCGACTGTATTGTCGAAATAGTCTGATAACTTTTTGACATAATTCTGGATTCTCGAGATCGCCGAAATACTTTATTTGATACGACTCGTTCTGCCACTTTACAAAATTAATATCCCTGAAGAGGTTTTATATGTTCGTACAGTTTCACCAATTAGTCTTCATTTTTCACCTCATCATATACATATCCATGTTCACAGACTAACTTAAAAAAACGATAAAATAATCATCGGGTCGATTTTGACGACTCGTAGAACTGAACCCCTACCCCTTGCCCCCCCCCCCCC